AAGAGTGCATGGCCAAATCTCAGGTAACCTATGAATGCCAATTGTGATTGTGCTAACTCACACAAGAATTCGCAACATGAACACAAAAGAGGGCACTAATCCAAATATATGTAGCCGAAAACCACCCTAAAATAGAATCATCAGAAACCTAACAGCACTGGCCAAAGGTGAAGAATTCTGCACTACGCTGCGGGTCCCCCCAAAGGGATAAAGGCAGATGGGCCACAGACTCTCACTGATTACTCACAAAGTGTAACTGTGTGAACTTCAGGGGCTACAAGGGGGACACAGCGCAGTATTACTGGTCTCCTGCCTTGCTGTTAACCCAGAACCGTGTGTGACACGCAGATCTCCATGCGTTCTTGCCGAGAGCCCCTGAGCAGCCACATTTCAAGGCCAAGGCTTTAAGGAACTTCATTATCCACAGTCTAGCAGGAAGCCACATCTTCCTTCCTATCCACCTTAAATTCTCCTTTTGCTGTCTTCAGGTTGTTAATCTACAATCCTCTCGGAGGGCATCTTATAGAGAAGCTTACAACACTTTATATTAGCATGGCAGCACCTCACCATTTACAGGTGTTTTTAAACGTACAGTGAGGAAAGTTGTAGAGAACCAGCCACACACCGAGTAATGGGCAAGTCATGTCCAACGCGTAGCGAAAAGTGCACCCCCAAGCCCTGCAATCACGGCCCAAGCAGCGTGACCATGCAGGAGGCAGCATTTGCTCTCCGGAGTTGAAGAGTTTGATGACCTTAACACAACAGCCCACTTCAACTCAGCGCACCTCCCAGAAATCAAGCCCAAAAAGCAGTAAAAATTCACAATGTTAATTTCAAACACTCAACCAGTTGTGTCACGGGGCAGTTTCTTTTCTACACTTTCAAAAACAGAAAAAAAAATTAACTGCAATTACTGCAGTCTTTTTGTGGGAAGTCATCACTTAAAAAAAATAAAAATACATGCAAACACTGTATACTACTTCTGCTCATATGGATTAACACATCATTTTCTTTCAAATCATCACAATGGAATTAAAATGTATTAACATCAGATACTTAGAGCAGTAGCTAGTTTTATGTCTAATTAAGGTCGGACTTAATTGGGCCTCTAGGAGTAGATTCAAATATATCCAAAATAAAAAGCCAACGCTCAGTAATAGAGCTAGAATTACTTTGCAATCTCCATGAAAAAGAATGACTTTTATATAGAAACATCAAACTACTGTTTGCAAACCACAACCTACAAGTGCAGGAAAGTAAGGCTAATAAATGGGTGTGTTACCTACAAGACAGTTAATTGCTTCAAAAGAAGCAAAGTCGGAGCACCTCTGCAAAATGCTTAAGAGATTCCTTTGCCTTCCACCTCCCAAAATGAGAGCAGGTCTGCTCTGACTCTCCAAGCCAACTCTCAACTCACTGAAGAGGAGCCCGTGCTCTTGTGATCTACCTCTGCTTGCTTTTCAGAGCAAGGAAGTCACGCAGCTTTTGGAGAGTTCACCTTCAAAGCAGTTCTGACTTTTCTTTCTCTGCCTGCTGCTCCAATTATTCATTCCACTCAGCTGCTTTCAGCCTCGTCTCTGTCCTTTTTCTCAAAATTTTCAGTAGCTGGAGTTACTACTCTTTCATTTATGCTGTCTCATGTACCCAGACTTCCTCCCTCCAGGAAACACTGAGACACATTTAATTTTGAATTGCACTGTTTCCTCATATGGAAAACAAACTTTGATAAAAAATAACCAAACTATATGCTGAAAGATATAAATGATGCTATAAAATGACATACTCTAATGCACTGGTCCTAACTCTATCATGCTATTAATGAGTAACATAGTGGCCTTATCAATACTTTCTGGGAGACTAACAGATAACCCCAACTGCGGAATCATCCTAATTCTTCACTCCACCACCAGTTTTTCACCACCAGCACCTCTGTATTCCCACACCAGCCCAAATTTTAACCATCCCAAACACTGATTCACACAGTGGCTCTACTGGGCCACGCAGGGAAATCAAGGCCCAGAGCAGCCCCCAGCACAAATCCTACTGCTAGGGCTGTGATGGCAAACACCTCAAGCCACATGGTGCAGTGCATTTTCAGGCAAGCAGGAGAAAATACAGATGCAGTCAGCTGCACCAGTTAACTATGCCTGACACTAGCCCAAGGATGCACATATTCCTCTTCATATTACTTTTGTGCAAACTTTAATGCTATAAAAAGAACAGGCATTAATGTCTCTACGAAGGACAGTGGAAATGCCAGTGACGCAGGAGCTGTATCAGGTGCCACTCTATACTCCTCGAGCAGATGAAGAGCACTGGCATCTGTGGGAGATGGTAGTCCATGCTCGGCCACTCTCAGTGGCAGCATCCCAAGGCAGTTTTATCCAGATGCATCCTCTTGATGCAGACCATGCTGTAACAGTGAGCCTCACTCCCTCATCCCATCTTACCCCAAAAGCAAGGATTTGTATCCATGCTCATCACTGCAGCACAAGGCTTTAGGCACAAGTGTCCCACCAGATATGCACGAGTTAAGAGTGCACACACTTCCACCCTGCAGCCCTTTAAGAATGCAGCTGGGCAAAACACCACTTGGGACTCGAATATACTTAAAGTAACTAAGAATCATTAAAAATTTACTTTGGGTAGCTGAAAACTTGCTTTTTATAGAACAGCACATTTCCCGTTGAATAATGCAGTAGCTGCAGCTGTACCACTCTCGCCACCCTCCTCTGAGAATGACCAGCTCAGTACATGACTCCCAACCTTTCCTTCTTGTTGTGTAAGCTCTAGGTAAATCCACTACAAAAGTCGAGGATTAGAGAGTCCTGGCTAGTGTAAATGGTCACGTGCCACACCTGAGGTCAGCACAGCCATGGTGATTTACAGCTATTGAAAGGGCCTGGTCTAGAAAGCACAGAAGCTAAAGTACTGTCCCGAAACCTTGTTTACTGCAGCAGCACAGTCACTAGGTTGCTCCTGTTGCTATTTTGGTTCAGTGTTTCTGTGCTTTAACACAAAAGCAGGCCTCGTAACTCTGCAACAGCCATGTCACTGCTGCCTGGACTAGCACGCCCGCGCTCACCTTGCTGCATCTTCCTCTAGAAGCAGCTTCACGAACTGCCTGGGGATGTGCAGTGACAAAATGCTCTCTGCCATTTGCTCCAGGATTCGCAGGTGGTTTCCGTCTGTCGTGGGGAAGCGATACATCCGGCAAATGGCACCACCAAACACTGAAGGATTAAAACCATGTTATTTAAGTTTCAGTTTCAGTTGAGTCAAGTGGCTTAGATTCATCAACATGCTGCACCCAGTTTAGCAAGGGACCAGGCGAGCTATTCCAAACATGGATATTCTCTTTGAATTTTCACAAGAGAAAAAGCCAAATGCTTTAAAGCACTCATTAGGGAAGAGAACATAGATTCAACATTTTAATTTATTTACATGCTGTGCATTTTCCCCTCATGCACTAACTTGCTGGAAAACTAACCTGTCTTAAAAAAATAAAATAAAACAAAACAATATAAATACTTTCTTCCAATTCTTCACCCCCTAATGATTGCTTAGAAACAGAATCATAGAATCATAGAATGCTTAGGGTTGGAAGGGACCTCTAGAGATCATCTAGTCCAACCCCCCTGCATACGCAGGGTCACCTAGAGCACGTGGCACAGGACTGCGTCCCAGCGGGTTTTGAAGATCTCCAGAGAAGGAGACTCCACAACCTCTCTGGGCAGCCTGTTCCAGTGCTCTGTCACCCTCACTGTTAAGAAATTTTTCCTTAACTTCCTGTGGAACTTGCAGAACAGACTTGCAGATTGCACAGAGTTTTTTTCTCCACAGTCTAACTAAAGGAAAAAGATTTCTTCTATATTGCAGATGATAAAAAAAATTATTCTTATATAACCTTCCTACAACATGCTGCTCAATCAGCAGCCTGTTCCAATTCAAACGAAACATCTGTTTAAATATCCTGGGGCCACACACAGACAGCTTTTACTGATGCTGGAAGTATTCTCGTTACAGTCCGTAGCGTCTTACCAGATTTCAACAGTGCATCTTTCCGCAACGAAGCGTATTTGGATCTGATTCCTAAAGATTCTGTTAAACTTTCATCAACTGGCAAAACCATCTGAAAAAAGGAAAAACAAACCACACAGTGAGGACCATATTATATAGACACAAAGGGAATACTAAACAGAAGGCACGTTTAAAATAAAAATTCCAAATATGTTTCCTGTGGAAAAAGCTACCACAGCCTGAAATAACAAATTCACTCACTCTCTGCAATCTAAAGATGATTATTTATTACTGAAAGATTCTAAATCCTGTAAAAAGTGATCATCCAGCTCTTCAGCTACTTTAAGGAAGCAGAGCTCAAAGAGACTGCACTGGTATCTGTCAGCTACAGTTCTCGCCTGATACAAAGTGCTACCAATCCACGCTGCAAGTGCGATACAAGCGTATGGTTACCACAGATATATTCAGAATAGAAAGTTTACAGAATTAAACATATGTCTAGGCTGACAAAGGATTACACATATCTGATATCAGAAAAATATTTTGCTATCACAATACATGTTCAGTATTCAAATAACA